GGCAAAGGAGGGGAGTCCTGGAGCACTCAGTGGCTTTCCAGGCTTTTACTGGGATTTACCAGGTACACAGCAGGCAGGGGTGCTGGGGGGCCGGGAGGATGGCAGGTCTCCCAGCCCCCAGCAAGTCTTCACTCTAGCTGGGCTCTCCGGCGTTCTCTCGTGGCCTTTTCGTGGTTTTGCTTCTCCATCCGTTCTTCTTCTCATGGTTCTGCTTCTGCTTCTCCTGGTGTCTCTGTGACACCACCCTTATAAGTCCAGTCTTAGCCCAGGTGAATCCCATCTACATACGCCCACACCCTACTCCAGGTGCCCGCCATCAGGCATGCATTCAGGACCACAGGGTTCCGTCATCTATCCTAATGGTGGGAGGGCAGAAAAGCCTGATACCTTTTACCTACCCTACACAGTTGAAGAAGAAAATACATGCAGGTCTTTCAGAACAGTATTTAGAACCTGTGACTCATAACCTGTACCTATATGCTAACTGACAGTGAGAGAACAGCAAGATTAGTTGTGAATTCTTTGGGAAGAGCAAAGAATTGCAATTAGAGGAGCATAGTTTCCGTCCCAAACCCAAAATGTGTCCCTAGGAGACCCTCTGGAGAGGGGATTCTTAGAGAGGAAAAGAGGAAGGATGAGGTAATGGATGAGATGATTTTCAGGTGAAGCAATCACAGGTATATACAGTCAGGTGGTGGGATCAGTCACAACCAGAAATAGGTAGATGAGTCACAATGTAAAGCAGGTGAAAATACTCGTCAGTCCTTTCAAATGGAATATGGTTGGAGCCTTCCCCATGGCGCAGCGGTTGAGCGCTGGGCTGCGAAGCTGCCCGCAGCCTCTGTAGCGCCGGTTTGATCCCTGACCGCGAGGGTCCCACATGGCACGCAGACCTCTCTTGCTGTGCCTGCTGCTCCCCTCAGCAGTGTACTTTGGTCCTTCTGCCTGTTTGGTTCCCCGCTCTGTCTCTGGTGAATCCTCTCACCTCCTTTCACCTCTGGCCTGTACCCCAGTTCATGTATTCATAAATAAATTAAAAAATATATAAAAAAAAACAAAAACAACATGGCCTACAGCATGCCCAGTTCATGAAGTACCTGTGTAAGCTGAATGTACATTTATCACGGCTTCTCCCACATCAGCCCATACCATCTGCAAAGCAGCCATTAACCAATCTGACAGAGTGTGGTCACCCTGGTCATACCACTGGCTGTTCTGCAGCCTGTCTCAATGATGGGTGCAGGGTCACTGTAGGGGCAGGAAGGGCACGGAGCAGGTTTTCTGAACCAGCAGACCGGGTGTAGGGTCAGGAATGACCACTGAGCAGGTTCTCTGATCCCATGCAGACTGGGTAAAGGAGGAGTCAGAGTCCTCAGTAGTTTTTTGCAGGTCTTTTATTGGGATTTACCAGGTACACAGCAGGCAAGGGTGCTGGGGGGCCGGGAGACTGGCAGGCCTCCCAGCCCCCAGCAAGTCTTCACTCTGTCTGGGTTCTCTGGCCTTCTCTCTGCTTCTCTTCTTCTTCTCTCTGCTTCTCTTTTGGCTTTCTGCTGCTTCTTTCTCGCTTCTACTTCGGCTTCTGCTCTTCTCAGATTCTACTGGCATCCCTGTGACACCGCCCTTAAAAAAGCCATCTTAGTCCAGGTGAATCCCATCTACCTATGCCCACATCCTACTCCAGGTGCCCGCCATCAGGCATGCATTCAGGACCGCAGATCCGTCATCCATCCTAATGGCGGGAGGGCAGAAAAGCCTGATACCTTTTACCTTACCCTACACCGGGTAAAGGAGGAGAGTCCTGGAGCCCTCAGTGGCTTTTGCAGGCTTTTATTGGGATTTACCTGGCACACTGGCAGGCCTCCCAGCCCCCGGAAAGTCTTCACTCTATCTGGGCTCTCCGGCATTCTCTGGTGATCTCTACTGCTCTTGTGGTTCTGCTCTCTCTGGTTCTCTTCTCTACTATTTGTTCTGCTTCTCTCAGCTTCTGCTGGCGTCCCCGTGACGCCTCCCTAAAAGCCCAGTCTCAGCCCAGGTGAATCCCATATACCTATGCCCACACCCTACTCCAGGTGCCGCCATCAGGCATGCATTCAGGACCGCAGGGTTCCGTCATGTATCCTGATGGCAGGAGGGCAGAAAACCTGACACTTTTTACCTTACCCTACAGTCACTGAAGCCAGTTTCTCCATCTCTTGTGTCATAGAAATTATTCCATCCTCCCCCAGGTCCCACAAATGCAGCAGTTAAGCTTCAAGTGGCTCTCCTAGTTTCTTTCATTTTAAGATTTATTTATTTTTATACAAGAGCTGGGGTATAGGCCAGAGGCATGGAAGGGTGAGAGGATTCACTAGAGACAGAGCAGGGAGCAGAACAGTCAGACTGACTGAAAAACACTGCTGAGGGCAGCAGTGGGCAAGACAGGAGAGGTCTGTTGTGCCATGTGGGATTCTTGCCGGCCGGCTGGGGATGGAACCCGCACTGCACAGGCTGCGGACAGCTTCACAACACAGTGCTCAACCTGCTGCACCACCGGGGAGACCCTCCCCTAGTTTCTGATGGAAATGTTTACCCAAGTCTACCAGTTACGCTTTCGTGTGTGGGCCTGACCTCCTTGGGCTGATTATATGGGCTGCTGGTGCTTCAACACTTTGTCACCCCTGGGCAAACCTGGACCTTAGGGCAAGCCTTCTCATCCTTTCTAGAGGAGGAGCCTGATGTCTCTAGAGTGGCAGGTTTTTCTGCAACTACTGGGCAAACCTGCATCAAAGGTCCAGCCTCCTCCTCCTCTTCTGTGAAGGAGCCTGGCATCTCTGGAGTTGATCTCTCTGGACCTCTTTCTCCAGAAACATCAAACATTTTCACAGGGCTGTGTGTCATCCACCAGTTGTCAGACCTTGGATTCTTCTCTCCACATACGCTCTTGTAGAGCTGTGAGAAGGATACATCCCGCAGCTCCTGCCACCGCCCAGGCACTATATCTGTCTAAGATCTTTTGTATATTGCACAGGGCCCGTTCCAACTGCCACAGGGATCCATCTACCTCTGGCCATTCCAGGGTAGGCGGCCACTGGGCAAGAAGGCTGGTCACTGAGTACCACATGCTCATGGATGGCCACCCTCAACCTCTCCCAGGGACTCAGAGGACTCCATATCTGTCTGTGTAGAAATGACCTGCCGTCTACACCACTTGTCATGCAATAATCCCAGGCCAAGTAGGTTCACTCTCAGTTCTCATAGACCATAAGAGAATTTGGAGCCTTTGGTAGATTTTGCAGTCCTTTAACGCTGAGACAGGCAGGCCTCCCTGGTGGCGCAGGTGGTTGAGCACAGCACTGTGAAGTTGTCCGCAACCTCTGCAGTGTAGGTTTGATCCCCGCCAGCCAGCAAGATACTCATACCTCTCCTGTCTCTCCCACTGCTCCCCTCAGCATTGTATTTCAGTTAGTCTACCTGTTCTGTTCCCCTCTCTGTCTCTGGTGAATCCTCTCACCCTCCCGCACATCTGGCCTATGCCCTGGTTTTCGTATGCATGAATAAATAAATCTTTAAAAAAGTAAAATAAAATAAAATAAATAATGCTGAGATGGGGTCATCTACATAGTCAGAGCAAGGGAGACTCTAAATCTGAGAGAAGTAGAAAGCAACTCCCTGCCTAATCCCCTTTATGCTGGTAAATGCCACAGCCATACAACTGATACACTGTTGCAAAAGCAAGTCCCATCTATTTTTTGCTAGATGTACAAATGGTGAAAAACAAAGCATTTCAAGGCACTGGCTGTCAATTGTGTGGAAGGCAAAAAATAGCCTGATTTACTAATTTTCCTTATGCATATGTTAGGATGACGAGCCATGAAACCCAACGACAAACTTCGTGTTTTCCAGTATTTCAGCTGTTATTGTCACTGAGCTAGTATCGGGACTAAGAATAGCCGTGAGGCCATCCCACTGTGATGACTGTCCACTTTATACACTTATGTAAACTTAAAAGATAACAAGTGTGCAGGTAGAAATGGCAAGAGCAGCATCACCTACAAAGGCTGGAGGGATAAAATGGGAGGTTGGCAGAGAAGGTGGGCAGGAATGGAGGAAAAGAGGGAAGAGAGGAAGGATGCTGGTAACTTAGTCTTGGTTCAGATGTTTGAGAATAAGGCATTTTCTAGGATTTTAAAATCTTAAATAATGACCAAAGTGATGTCACATTTTATTCTTTTTTTTTAAACTCAAGATATCCTTTATTTCTATCAGCAAGACTTCAAAAAATTAGGAATATAGAAAAATGATGAAAATTAACTACTTTCACAATGAGATTAAATTAATGAAAACAAATCAAACTGATACAGGGCAGCAAAGGGCACCAAAACTGGCCAAGGACACCACCCACATAGTTTACTGGTCGCTGTCTGAGTTCTTCACCTGTGCTCACAATTGCAAGGCTATTCAGGCTCAGGCAACAATGGCAATGGGATTTATTTAACAAACCAGGGAAAAACAAAGACTTACTGAGGCCAAAAATGGCTGTTTACCTCACCCAAAGCAGTGTCCATTGTTTTCCAGTCCTAAACAAAAGCAGTTATAATGGAGTCTTCCCGCCACTGAGGACACAGAGCTCCTCTCTGGAACAATAGGCCATGTGTCCAAGATGGCGTCTTCCTCTCTCTGCTGGCTTGGAGCACACGGCAGCCAGACTCTAGGCCAGGTTCCAACTCACAGAGACAACAGAAGACGCAACAGGAGATGCTCTTGGAACTGCCAGGATGCCCCAGTGCAGCACCAGACAAGCGGCACTTAAAATAGCTGCTGCAGCAGCTGTAAGACCTGACAAACGGGCCAAACTCACACAGCTCAGCGAGGTGCCCGGCTCCGACTCCAGCTCCAGGTCTTTGCCTTCCCCACCAGGCTGTTCTAGCAGCAAACTGGGAACAGTTTCAGTTGCTCATCTAAATTGCAGACTCCAAATTTTCCTCTCTGCAGTTGGCTGCTGGAGGCTTCTCCATGTTCAGAGACCCACGGCAGCCTTCTGGAAGATAAGCACAGTAAGGATCGGAATCCACTGACCCCCCCAAATGCTGAATCTGAAATGCTGAATCCCCAGGACTGAATGAATCCACGCCCCCTTCTGCAGTACCTTCTATTTCTTATCCATTAATGCCATACTTTTTAGCATTTTCCCTGGGCCTATCTATTCTCACCAGCAACCCCGTCCAGGGGGCACCATGTGTAACAACCTTTGGGCTTCAGCCACTGCTTACAAAATGATTACATTTCTTATTAAATTTTTTTCTGAAAATAGGTGGACTTTTGTGGATGTAGAGAGAACTGGTCACAAACTCCTTTGAAAATCGTATCAAAATCTGTACTTTTTCACTGGGGTAAAATAAAGGCACCCACACAAACATGCAGTTTCAAAGGATCCTTAACCCAGAGTGGTAAAACCTGGTGGTGTGGGTTTTCATATATATTATGATTTGAATTATCCAAAAATATCTTGAAGAAACTACTAACAATTTTAAAATTATGAGTTGGGCTGCAGTAAATAACAGTATGAGTACTGTGGAGAGTATAGAGACACCACGGGCACTTAAATTAGTACAACTGTGGTGGATGGCAAATAATCAATATTCGTCAAGTTGAAAAATGATCACATTCTGTAAACCAGCAAGTCTATGGATAGGAATTATCTTTATAGATCCACTTGTAAAATTATGCCATGATATATGTTCAAGAATCTTCTTTAGAACTTTGTTTGTAATAGCAAAAACAGTTGGAAATAATGAGCGTTGAGAGTGAACTGGCCAAATAAGTTTGGGAACAGTGATACCATACCTGCTGCACTAAATAATAGGAGGCTGATATGTATTTCATGACTTGGGAAGATGATCTGTTTACTTATATCAAAAACATAACCATGTATACTGAATGGTCTTGCTAGGAATATGTCAGCAAGGTTGTGTGTGTATACTCTGAAAGAATATGGAAAACACTATTCAATGTAGTTAACTTTTGGTGAACCATATGCCTATATGTGGTACATAAAGCATTAAAAAATTGCATCTGCATTTAATATTTATTGAGCTCACAATTCCCCGGTGTGCAACATATTTTTCAAAGCTTTGCTAACACAAAAGAATGTGGAAGATGATCAACACTGTAGACTTTTAATCTTGTTGTCAATAATAAAAAACATTTGAAATAGAGAAATTGTGAAAGGTAATACACAAACAAGTGCAAGTTGAAGTGGTAAAGACTTCATATTAAATACCAATGTATTATCAGATTTCAAAGAACCTGTTCTATCAAACAGGAAATTCTCACAAGGACAATTGTAATTGTATGTGTGTGTGTGTGTATGTGTGTGTGTGCTTGTGTGTGTGTGTGTGTGTGTACTTAACAGAAAAGAAAGCAAGTGAATCAAACAATTCACAATAACTTAGGAAACACAGAATTAAAATTCTATGAATTTTAATTTCAATGTGCTGAACATACACACACACATTCATACATTACAGCGATATCACAAAGTACTCATTCATAATTTGATTTATTTTGTGTAGCACAATCACTAAAAATACTTGCAACTTTTTTAATAAGTATCAAATGAGAAAACAGCAAGTTCAATTGATAGAGTGTGCGGTATTTCTCTAGTTGCTTCTAGATGTGTAATCTAGTCCTTCCGTTTCTTCACCTTCTCAGATACCAAGAAGCTATCTTTGGCTATGGTGGCAGCTTTATTAAGGTAGCTGTTAGTGATGCTAAAAAAGCGTGCTCATTTTCAACCGAGCCTGACAACACTTGATACATTGGCTGTGTTGACAATTGCACCGGCTGGATCAGTTTGGGTCCGACAGCAGACAAATCTGTCAAGAAATCAACCAGTCTGTTTGTGTACGACATAGTTACAGGTGTGACTGACATTTTTTCAGTGATTCTAGATCATATTTCTTTGGGAGAGAATACTAATATTATAGTAGGGTTTTTAAAATGCTGGTCAAAATATCCTGAATATTTCCATGGAAAAAATGCATAGGTAAATGCTTGGAAAAATCTGCCATGAATAGTTATTTCAGTTAAGATAATTTTGTTTCAGAAAACACTTCTTTTAATATATTGAGAATCTACTTGCAATAAATGTGGTCGTTGTATGTTGTTTAAAATGATTTCAAAATGTGCTTAAGAAATAAAATCTTCTAGTTAGTGTTGAGGTGGTCATTTGGGTAGGGCCGAGGGTCAGAGTTGAGAAGCTCACTGACAGCAGCTGGGGACTAGTACCCGCCTCCAGTCTTCCCTGGTGTAACATGGGGATGATGGACTAGAGGTAAGATTCAAACGTGAGGTTCATGTTTGCATATGAAGAGTAGGGGAGACTTTAATTGGCTATCATGCCACTGTCCCACCTCTGTAAAATTCCTCTCCATGGATTCATTTGCTATAATGATTTGAGTATAAATCTGGCTGGGAGGTGAAGACAGAATAAAAGGCACTTTATCTTCCATGTGAGTGATTTGTTGGACTGCCTACCAGTGCTTGAGTTGACAGCTCTCTATATTTCATCTGTTGCCCAGAAAGTCAGAAAGAGAACTTGTGACAGGGAAGCGACTGGCTTTAAGATTGCCTTAATTATTCCATGAATTGAGCCAGCTCTACCTCTTCCACCCTATGTTCTATAGCCTTTTCTTTAATAGTCTTCATTTCTTCCATTTCCCTTAGAAATTAAAGAACTGTGATATAGCTTATCCATTTAGATGAGCGATCTTAGTTTCTGAGAATTTTTTTTGCTTACTCAAGGAAAAAATCGCTGCTATTCTAACCAGAAATAACGGTAACCAAACTGATTGGAATTTGAGAAAACAAAATCTTCTGCTCTCCAAAATGGTGTGGATCACATATGGTGTTGCTTTCCTAGGATGAAGGGGGAGCTCTTCAGGAAGTACACAGATAAACAAATCTGTGAACTTGAAATTACCCATGGTGAGAGCAAAAGTGTGCATCATTGTGAAACACAAAGATAACTCTTTGTTCCTGCACCTGGAGATGTCTATTAATAGGAGTCACCTAGATGTTGGTTATACATAATTTTAAAATAGGAATACAAATTATGGGGTTAGGTAGGTCTCCTGCAGAAATCAGCAGGTGATAGGAGAGAAAAAAGAGCTTTATTAAATACAAATTCTTAGTGCCTATCCAGTGGAGGGTAAAATTGACAGGATTCAAGGATTAATTAAGCCATTCCCAAAGTGCTTTTTCAGCTGCTAAATACAGGGGAAAAAAATCAGCCTAATCATAGACAAGCACTCTAGGAAATAGAATTATCTCATGCTAACTCACCTCTCTCACTTAACACCCAGCTACATTTTAGCAGCTGCCAAATGTGTATTTTGAATGATGAATTCTGTTCTAAGCAAAGAATTGTTTTTTTCCCAAGTAACTCAAAGTCTATTAGCTTTACCTTGGGAAATTATAGAATTTCTCATTCAATATGTATAGATAACCTAAGCTTTTCAGTGGAATGAGGATATAAAGAGGATTCTGTTTATTTCTCCAAGTTTCATTGAGGTATGAATTCAGATTATTTAAGAAGTACTGATAGATGCTATTTTAAGCCTCTTGAACAGCCTCACAAGAGAATAAGGCCTCACTTTAAGGTAAAGTTTGGACAAAATGCCTTGGAATTCAGAAAAGTATTAAGAGGCAGATATAGCATTGATTCCATGAGAAAGCACAAAGATAATAATAATATCAGTAACAATAAAATTGACATTCATTGCATGCTATATGTTTGGGATTTTATACACATTATATCTTTGCTACTGATAAAACTCCTAAATGTTTTATGATATTAAAATTATTATCAAAACTTTTATTATTTTACCTATTTTGAAAATGAGGAAATTGAGATTTTATACAAATTAAGACAATTGTCTAAGGTTACTGTTTTTGAATGGCAGTGTCCAGCTTCTTTTTTTTTAAGAATTATTTATTTATTTATTTGTTTGTTTGTTTGTTTGTTTATTTATTCAAGAACCGGGGTACAGGCCAGATGCGCAGGAGGATGAGAGGATTCACCAGAGACAGAGCAGGGAACAAAACAGGTAGACAGACCAAAGACACTGCTGAGGGGAGCCGCAGGCGAGACAGGAGAGGTCTGCTGTGCCATGTGGGTATTTCCCTGGCCGGCTGGGAATCGAACCAGCACTGCAGAGGCTGCAGACAGCTTCACAGCACTGCGCTCAACTGCTTGTGCCGCCAGGGGAGGCCCTTGTGTCCAGCCTCTTAATCGCTATGTTACCCTAAGTTATCTACCACTCCAAGAAGCTTTTCAGCAAGGCAGGACATAGCAAGAGCCTGACTGCAAAGCCTACTGGGGTCTGCTATGGAGAAACATGGAGAAACTACGCTGCTGAGATCCAGCAGTCGTAGAAGTTCCCTGGTGGGAGACTACTATTATGAAGGCTGCAAAAATTAATACTCAGAGATGATGTGGTTTGAAAGTTCCAGACACTTGCTATTGGAAATGTGGTCTCCGTACTAGCATTTCCCATGCATGTTAAATCTCACTGGGTCTTATCAACCTGCAGAAGATCCCAAGATAATTCACACATTAAAGTTTGAGAAGCACTGCCAACATGCCACCCATGAAGTACTGCAGGGTACTCTTGGGAATAGAATGTTAAGAGCTTCAGTTTCAATTGAACAAGGAGACAAGGGGGTGGGAGTTGCCTATGTGGGGATTGATTCATTAGTGAAAGATAATTACATTGATTAAGATAGGGCACTTTATTTAGGGACAAGACAGGCAGTGCTACTCTCTATGACAGGAATTTATATGATTGCTGGTATGGAATTAGCTGCCAATCCACGGGGTTCAGTTCTGTCTCTAGAAAAGCTTCTCAGTGGCGATTGATACCATGATGTCATTTTAAGACAACTTAGAGATAAGATGAAGATGCATCTATCTCTACATGTCACCCTGGAGCAGCCACCCTAAAATGTAGTCAATGAAAAATAATCTGTTAGCTTGGA